CATACTGTAAAATACCAGCACTGTGAATCAAGATTGTGTATGTGTATAATTAGGGATATCATGCAATCATCAAACATCTCATAATCATAGTGAGACCTGCCTATGGCAGTGAAGTAACACCATTTAGAAAGAAGTCCGACAACTGCCACGTTGGATTTCAGGATGATTGCCAATTAAGAAAGGTACCGTACATGAAAGAATGGAAATTAAAAAAAATAATAGAAAAATGTTAAGGAATAACAAATTGGTAATCAATCGAAAGTAATGAAAATTAAAAAAATAAGTAAATAACTGCTTTGTATGGTATGAGAGCAAGTGCAGAGGGAGAGAGATAGATGCAGATATTAAACATCATTTATATTAAAGCTAGTTTTAGCATGAATGAAATTATATAAACATAAATCAAATATTCAAATTAATGGTGTGAAGATACTAATATCGAATAGACCTCATGTCTATGAGATGGCTAATTATCATTTTCAAATTATATATAAACATATGTAAATATTGAAAGGGAAAGAAACGGAAAAGAAAATTAAAGGAAGGAAAAGAAAGAACGGAAAGGAAAAACTGGAAAGGGAAAAGAAATAAAAAAGAATAGAAAATGAATATAATGGAGAAAGTGAAAAGAAGTAAAAGAAACATCAAGTAAATTAAGAAAAGTATATAGGCCTAGATAACTTTAGCATAAATGAAATTACGTAGACAAATTAAATATCACATTCAAGTAATGGTATGAAGACAATAATATTGAATAGACTTCTAAATATCATTTTCAAATAAATATTATATATATATATATGTATATAATTAATTTTTGTGTGTAGCACTCTGTTTATATAATTAAATAAAGGTGAAAACAGAGCTTGAATAAATGAAAAGTGATGCGCTTATCGTATCAGGCATAGCCTATCAAACAAAAAAAGTTTCTTATCAACTGTTTGAAAATGTGCCCCTGGCGGCGGGAATTAAAATGTGATTTCTTGCTGTCGAGGTGATTGCCATACATATTTACCACTAGGGGCCCCTGATATATTGCAAATACAACCCAACCAGGACACTTCTTCAAACAAATGATATACTGTTGCCAGAGAATACTCTAAAAGTCATACCTGTATTATAATGAAGTAACATATAGAATCAATGTTGCTGTGTAGCATTGTGGTATAACTGATCAAATAATGACAGAAACAGTGCTAAATTAACAATGATGTAAAGATCATATCAGGCATAACCTATCAAAGAAAAAGTATCAACTGTATGAAAAAGACAAAAGTGCCCCCGGTGAAAAATTAAACCATGCATCAGTTGTTTGAAAATGTGTCCTAGTTGGATTTATCAGGAAACGAATGTTTCGTATATACTGTATTTTTTTATTCACCATTGCTATATTAGTTACTAATTATGAATAGGCAGTATTATGTGCCTAAAGGCACGGTATCTTATTGTCTCATTATGTCATTATGGCATTTTTTGTGTAATTTACAACGGCTATAATACCTAGGGGCTTACATACTGGCAATAAAGTTCACCTTCATTGCAAGCTTCATAGCAAGTATGTGCTGGACTGACTCAATTGGGGGTTTGATTCATTTCTTTCGCTTTCGATAGTATTATATGTGCCTAAATGCACGGTATCTTATTGTCTCATTGTTACAAATATTGCTTTATATATTCATAGAGTAAAGAATATTCTTTACTCATAAGATGTTTTCTAGCCAATGTTGCTTGGCACTGGTGTTTAAATACATTTATGCTATCTTTTTATGGGACCTTGGCAACATCCAAATGGTGGGCCATAGCGGAAATTTCCAATAAAACAAAATACCTATGCTACACCAAGAAATCTGTCTCTTATACACATCTAGATGTGTATAAGAGACAGCCGAGATAGTAAGTGGCTAAGCGTTTGAGAAACTTTTTCATACAACTAAAAAAGGAACTTTCATTGGTAGCCATCTTGAAATCCAATATGGCGGCCTTCCAACATAATTTCCTGATGATTGCATGATACTCTCTGATATTAAAAGCATAGTTAAAGGTGTGATTGACTGTGTTACGTTACTGTAGATATGAAGATAATGACAAAAATCAAATATGGCGACCATCTGACATAATTTTTGATGATTGCATAATACTCCCTGATATTGAAAACATAGGTAAAGACCTTTGAATGACAGTGCTAGGTGCTGTAGATATGAAGATTATTGATAAAAATCCAATATTTTGGCAGCCATTTTGAATTCCAAGATGGCGGCCATTAAGCGGCTTATTTTTCGGGGTCTATTTTTTTTAATGATCCTTAGGTGTCATAGTATCACTGTGGGAAGTTTCATGCTTTCTTCCAAAAGTGCACGATTTTCTCCTTAGCCGCTCTACTAAAATATTTGAAAAAAAGGAGAATGAGGGCAATTTTTTCTTGTTTTTTTTTTTTTTTTCTTAATCTGAGATGGCAAATCGAAGATGGTCGATGGGAAACAGCTCTACTACTTTCTCATTTTACCAGGTAGACACATTGAAAGCAAATAAAAAAGCACTAGACATGAATCATACCATATGTAGAGAGCTACACAAAACTATGCTGGATTTGCAAGTGACGGAATTACTGATGCCAGCGCCTTTGTACATTCTCAGGAATGTGGAAGGCGCCAGTATATTCGGAATCTAAAAAAAATAAATAAATAAATAAAAAATTTGTTATAAAATCCTTACCGATACCAATATGTTTAATTCTTAGTAAAGTGCATTCCCCACGGTGACACTGCCGATCCGAATAAAGATGACTTTACACAGCGTTTCAATGTGCTGAACACCAGCCACACACTTTCGCATTGGCGGCGCCAGCGTCTGAAATCTGGGGGATCCAGTGAGGGGGTGGGGGGGGAGGGGGAAGTTAAAATTTTAGGGGAGGGGGAAATATGTTTTTCTATAGAAGACCGGAAATATAAATATAACCCAGCTAGCAAAGCGACGTTGGCCCAACGTTGTTAAACGTTGGCAAGCGTCGGTAAAAGACGGGGTCGGTTATCTGACGTTGGTACGACGCTGGTGTTTGGTTGCAAAATTTGGTCGGAGACGTAACGTCAAACCAACATTGGAATTTAACGTTGGCCCAACGTATGAATATATTTGTCGATTTTCCGATGTCGTCCCAACGTTGGTAAGCCGTCGTAAATATTCAGTCTGACTACGTTGGTAAACGTCACAATTTGTCGAGCCTAGACCGTCATGGAAGCTCACTGGCTCCTGTGTAATTCATGTTGAGCCAACTGCAGACGAAAAGGTTACAATCTTTTCAGAGATAAGCTGGAAGAAAGTTTTAGACAGTGCCCATCAATGGAAGGATTTTAATACTGAGGAATGGAATTTAGCGGTCCTTGGCTTGCTTAACCGTTTTTCTTCTATCGTCGCTTCCAACCGTCTAGGCGTGTCTAGCCTAAAGAGGGCCTACATAGCAGGTCCATGAAAAGTCGTATATATTTGCACTAGTAATTAAAATTGTTTATTGAGCAGAGTCACACTGATAAACAATTGTACTACATTCGGCTGATGCATGCACCCCAGGCCAGCCATGATTGATGAAAACATTCTAGGAAATAGTACTTGGCCGGAAAACACTTTTATAATGATAGTAAAATTCATCATAATCACATCACAATTATATAGTTAAAATGAAGCATCAACACATTTCTTGTGATCTTTTAACAGGGATTTTCGGCAACCATCTAATTAGTAAGTGTGATACCACGAAAATAAAACTTAATAACATTGTCTTTGATATTTACTTACCTTTACCTACTTCTTGTGCCGAAAACCAAATCTTAACTTTACACGCTTTTTCTCATACTTATTCAAATTATTAAGGAAAGCGCAAACGAGTCGTGTATTACTGTATAGTTAATTCAAATGTTTGTGGACAGAGACACCGGCATCTAGCTATAAAATAAGATGTTCTCTGCATGTATGGTTCTAAAAAATAATTGTTACTACCAAAACTGTAACGTTATTATACTGTTCTTATAACATAGTATTGTCACCTGGGCCTGTATCTGTACATTTGTTATGGCATTAGAAATACTGTAAAATTTAATTGAACTATTGTCTTTTTGAAAGGCTAACCTAGAAATTGTATATCCAACCACATCGGTAAACGTTAGTGGAGGTTGGTGACAACAGTTGGCTAGCCACCAGGGCCATAATGAAAGCGCCGTTATCTTCATTGAAAGCGCCGTAATGCCATTCATTTTCAACCAATCACAGGTTTAGGATGACGCCAACAGGGTCATAATGAAAGCGCCGTTAACTTGTTACAAAAAAGGCGCCGTGATCATAATAAGAGCGCCGTAATCATAATGAAAGCGCTGTAATCATAATGAAAGCGCCGTAATCATAATGAAGCGCCGTCATGCTATTCACTTTTAACCAATCACAGGCTTAGGATTACGCCAACAGGGTCATAATATTACGGCGTTAACTTGTTCGATAAAAGCACCGCTTTATCTATAAAATCACAACATTAACCCCTTTACCCCTTTCCCTACGCCACTGCACCACAAGATCAAGGGTTTGATAATATTTATCGTACTTCTTATTAAGTTATAGTATCTAAATTTGGTACAAATATAACTATAGAGGGTTAAATTAAAAATTGAGGAAGCCAACTCAACTAAATGAAGCATTTTTTCAGAGTGATTAAGAAATGGAATTTTTTGCTATAGTAGGTTATTATCAGAGAAAGCATAAAACATGTTTAAAAATTACGTGAAAAAGCATTCAAATGTACACACATGAGAAAAGAGGCACTCACTTTATACGAGTTGATATTCCTGTGTGGTTACCGTGTTTATTCGAATAAACACAATTTGACAGTAATATTCCGTTTGTTTGAGTGGCTTAGGCCCATATCCATTTTACACCAACAAAGGCTCCTCTCCCTCTGAAAAACCTTTCTGTACTGATAGAGGGCGCATTACTTGTTACTATGGTAAATGAAGCCGTCTACCATATTTCGCTATCATGGACTTAAATAATGTTTGATGGGGCTATTTTATCCAGTATTATTAAGGTTTTTTTTCAATATGGGGCATGGTGCAAGTACAAATGTCAAAAAGGTTACTTTAAATGACCAATATGGCGATAATTATAGATCGGGGTAAGTGGTTATTCCCCTCTCTTGTTGTTGGTATGCCCTTCAACCAGGGTTCAAGGGAGGCCTAGGGCCTGGGTGGGAGTAGTAGTAGTAGGGGCCTAGCTGGGTTAGCTAGGTCGCCTAGGCCTAGCCCTAGTACGCGGTCAATACTCAGGTCGTTTTTGGAGACCTAGCTTAGGCCTAGGCTAGCCTAGGCCTAGAGAAGGATTAGCATGTCCGCCATTTGTGTAGATTCTGTACTGCTGCTGTTTTCATCCTCAAAGTACCCAACTCACCAGTTTTTGTAGCTTGTTTTATTTAAATACCAGGCCCTCCTACTAGGGTCTAGCCTAGGCCTAGCTTTTTAAACAGGCCAGTTTTTTTTTTTTTCTGTTTTTTTTTTTTTTTTTTTTTTTTTTTTTTTTTTTTTTTTTGGCATCAGCACTTTGTTAACTCATATTTAATTGTACACAATAAAAATTGTTTATCAAAATAAAAATAATCATGGTGGTAGCCTTTATATAATTTAGGACTGCAGTAGGCTGTAGCATCTGAAAAAAAAAAAAAAATATTTTATTGCTATGATTATAAAGGGATCAAATACTGTATGTGGAAACTTCCAATGAGACTATCAAAACAGTTTACTGTTTTTGTTGATTTAAAATTTTTACTCAAATGTTGTCAGCCAATTTATGGATCTATGCAAAAGGAATACAAACCGGGTATTAAGTTAAGAGATGCGTCATTTATTTGGCAATGAAATGTTTTCTTGTTTAATTTTAAATGGAATTTTAATAAGCAATTCAAATGTTCAACACAGACATAGGCCTAGATTAGCAGTTTTGATTAACTTAAATTGTAATGAAATAAACAGGTAGGCCTATATTTGTGAGTGGCATCACATGGGAGACAAGTACAATAAGTGAGGTAAATGTTCAAGCATGGGGCTATTAATAATAATAATAATAATAATAATAAATAAATAAAGAATGCCCAGCCTTAGCTTAGTTAACATTATTATATTTTTTTTTTTAGCCTGCTAAAGGATTCCCCCATTCAACGTTAATTCTGTCTATTCCAAGCATAGAGTTATCTCTATGATTCCAAGCGAATCATGTGGGTTTCATAAACTTATTTAAAGGTCTCTAGGTCATGTCAAAGTCGCTAGAAAGAAGCTAAAAAAAAAAAAATTTTTTTTCTTTCAAAAATAAATAAAATTTCTATTTCGGCCTAGCGACTTTTTATACAGATATAAAAATAGTTGAAATCTAAGATTTTAATAATTATTACGATTTTCGGCTAGGCTCACATGCAGAAGTTAAGAAGCGGCTGGAAAATCAATTGCGGAAATTATCAAGGGAATATCCCGATGACGTAGCGCGCTATGGTGAAACTGATTGGATGCTGCTGGATACCGCTTACACGCCCAAAGTTTCACAGGATCAATTTGTCATGTCACCTTCGTTCCCATGCTAATTTTATCGTTGATTTATTGAGCTAAAGCATTATTTTATAATAAGACATTAAAAACATTTAATAAAAAAATTATGCTGTACAAAAGATTTACTAGTTTTAGATTCTTAAAAATTAGCGCTTTTAATTAGCAAAAATGACATCATTTTTCATAATTTTTCCCTTGGGGGCGGTAGACTTTGTTTATTTTTATAGAGAACTCTAATTATTTCGTGATCCTGTAATTAACGAAATAAGCATCGTTTATCATAATTTTTTTTATTTTATCATAATAGTTAAACTTTTATTAGTAAACTCAATCAAATTCTCCAAGATTCATTTTAAATAGTTGGCCTGGGATCCCTAACTACATGTATGTACTATTTTTGTTTTAGCCTGCTTTTGTAGGCCTACAGAATAAAACGGCAATGAAAAAATCTTCCTAATTTTTACGGAACTCCGGACGAACCCCCCGAACCCCCCTAAATACGGCCTGATACAGTATTGATAAAATATATATTATGTGATGTGATATTTAGTGTTAATTAGTTTACACTAAGACAATATTATCAATGTTATTTTTTTTGCACATTTGTTTTGTTACAGGTGGACAAGGTCAAACTCAGATGGATGTATTGTTGAGACAAGTTTGAACTCAAGTAAAACAAAGGTAAACCTTATAAATGCATTAGCTTTAGTTACAATTTCACATAATTTGAACGTAACATATTTTATATTTTCAATTGTTTTTGTATTGTAATATTTTATGTAAAGGTGCTGACTTGCATTGTGCCAATTGTGGGCTGGCAGTTAACGCTGTGGTTGAGGTTCAAGCACTGAACCCTGAGGTTGAAGGTTGAAACCTCTTTCTGTGTAATTTCGCTTGTGTCCTTGGGCAAGGTACTTTATCGCGATCGTATCTCTCCACACAGAAATACCTTTCCGCTAAGCCCTGCACACCCCTTAGATATTTTTTTTTAAGGTCCCACAAAACGACAAACAGACATACACGCGTGCATTTGTGGGACAAGTCGTGTGTTTGTAGGACACGCACATTTCTGGCCCTCTTCTGATTGGTCAGTTTTTAAGTTTGGTTGGCAGTCTAGAAAGGTCCATTCATGGATGGCTAGCTGTAACATTATAGAATTCATTAATTTCTTTGATATATTCGGTTGTTATTTTAAGATTGAACTCATGGATCAGCAACGGACGGAGTTGAAGGAGCTTTTGAGGACTAGTGAAGAAAATTTGAAAGAATCTCAAAATATGAACCTGGAGATTCAAAAACAGGTATGTTTAATATTCAGTACATTATATTTAGCCAATGAATGGGTAAGTGGTGAATCGTCAGAGTAGGCTCTACTGTAGGAGACTAGGATACATCATGGAGGGGAGCAAAGTCAGTCCGACAGCAGTGCCTGACAGTTTTTGTGGAAGCCAATAGGCCCTAGTTCAATCGAATGGTGGAATAATGCTAGCACTCAAAACCTGTGTACTTTGTGTCATTTAATCTATTCTGAGATGATTTAGAATGTATTAGGCATTCAAATAACTTCATTTAGCTTCAAGGTAGTATAAAGTATTATTAAATTTCATTCATGTTAACACATTCACTGCGCATAACTGGTAGTACCGGGTAGAAAAAAATGTTGTTTGAATTGCGCGTCACCGGTAGTACCGGGTATATGAAAATATTTAATTGAAAAATTTGCCTGTAGTGCACGCGCCCCTGTATAGTTGTTTTCTCTGAACTAGAGGCAATTTCCACGTGGAAGTAGTATAGGCTACAAAATGGCAAGAACACGGCCTCACAGCAGACCAAATCTTTGCTGATTCGGGCAGCGAGGATGATTTTGATTTGGAAGATGCATGTAATTTGTTTCCAACATTGACTATGATAATGCAGACAGCGATTCCATATACGAAACCGATGATTTGCTCGATTTTTGGGCCCAGCACAGGGCCAAGATGACAATGCTGTGATTGTAGATTCTGGTGTTGAGTCTGACGATGATGCGGGTGATTTGGACAATATAATGTTTGCAGTCAAGCAGTTTTATTTCATGGAAAAAATCATTATTGTTACAATTATTTACAAACTGAATTATATGGAGTATAAATGAACAATTGTTGCAAAAAAAAGGCATGTTACAGTGATTTTTTTGAAAATGTCATGTTTTTTCCCGATGCTGCCGACAAACGTTAAATTGTTAAATTGACTATTTATGATTTTATTCATTTTATGTATCTTTATCATTATCCAGTGAAAAAACATATAAGCATTTCTTGGAGAAAAAGTTGGTTTTTTTTTTTTGACAAAATTTATGAAAAAAAGGAAATCCAATATGGCCACCATGTAAAATACCAAATTTCAATTTTCCCCCATAGGCCAACCTCTTGCCCACCCCAACACATAAAAAGAATTTCACAAAAACCTCTTTATAGTATTTTTTTTGGCATTGATTTAAAAATCACCTTTTTTCCTCAAAAAGAGGCCCAGTGCAGGGGGTATTTACCTGCAAAAGTTAAAGGGTTAAGCCAAAAAATAAGGGCTATTTCTCACCATTAGGTCTTTCCATCAGCATTCTCGGACTTTTTCAGCTGAATTAAATTGGCATGTAGCCAATGCCTACGTCACCGATGATGTAATGGTTGCTGTGCGATGTTGCTCAGCAAATGATTGTTCCGATGAGTCTTGCCTGACAGGGGCCTGGCCTTTTCACTGGTAGTACCACCGTGAGGTCCAAATTATTTCAGACAACTCATTGTAAAATATGGTGCAGAAAAAATGTTTGTTTTTACAAATGAATGGTAAATCTCCTCACGTGTGGCAAACAAAAATGTTTTTGGCTGTACCACCATCATTAAAAGATCTCAACAGAGAGGTTTCGTACGTGAACAAGTACGTGTACGCATACGTTTAGCTATCCGTAGTTTGTATTTATGCTGTGTTTTCGCAATGACAGTGAAATTTAAGTGTAGGACCTCTCCTAGCCAAGGCTATTTCGTTTTCTTCTCTCATCATGCTTTTCAAAATTAGATTTTGGCATGGCCTAAAGTTTTGGTATGTAAGGTTTTGGAAATTGGAAGTGATAGTCGAATACTCCTTCCCGTTGTTACCCAGAAGAGTTGGTTACTTTGCGACCCAAAAATGCTTGTCTATTGTTATAAGCTAGGCCAAGGGAGGCCCCTAGCTAGGCCTAGGCTTGCAGGAAATTACCAACACCGCCAAGCGTTTTTTAATACCCCAAAATGAGACGCATCCTATCGTGAATTGCAGTTTCCAAAAGTCACAAAAATGGCACGTACATATTAATGATGCATTTATTTTTTAAACTTACTGTAAAATGTGCGGGGAAAAAATGAAGATCGTACTAGAAATCAAAAATTTTCCTACGCGTTGTTTTTCACTTACGTGTAGTGAGCGGATAGCAACCGGTGTATGACGTCATAATGATGACGTATACGTCACACTAACTGTATTCGTTCGCATGCGAAACCTCCCTATTGTCAGTGAATAACTACATATTGTTAGACCGACTGGAAATAAACTTTCACAATACAGGCCTCCCTCCAATAAAGGATCACTTTTAGGACCAGGGTTTTTTTAGTGGTCTTTAGCAGCTTTTGTCTGCTCTATTTAGAATACCTCTAATTAAAGACCGGCACTAAAAGTGGTCTTTAAATATCTCTGTTTAGAGGGAAATTGAGAACTGATATATTAAATTTATGATTGTTTTATTCCAAGTATTTTTAGAACGGATGTACTGTATAGTAATACTGTATACTGTTATTTATACTTAATATACAATTTCCCAGTAGTCAGCAAACTGTGTGAAGCGACACACAAGCTTCCATGAGCAAAATTCTACCCTATACCAAATATCGCCATATCATCAAACATTATGTTCTGAATGATACACCCAGAACTAAAAGTGCACTTAATTTGTGTCAATAAAATGAGTTTATGATATAATAATATCTTAAATTAGATATAAGGCAAAAGTCACGGTAAGGGTTGCAGTCACTGACTCATAAAATCAGAAATTGGAGGGTAGGCAGTGGCAGATTGGAGCATACCACTATTTGAGAATGATCCATTTTAGATTAAGCTCTCATTCCATCACTGACTGTTTATGCAAATATGGCACTGTGAACAAAATGTTAGTGTTATTAACACATTTACTGCTAAGCCTTTTTTCCTAATTTCATCCCATATGCCACGGCATAAAGGACGCCACCATAAAGAAAAATCATTCCAATCAACTGTAATGAAACACCAACAAACTAACATCCTGGTAGCCCTGAGATAACCCCGTCAAGTGTGAACTTGTGTCCCTGGCAGCAAATGTGTTAAAACATAGTGTACAGTGAATAATAATAGGTAAAGGATGGAAATTATGTACAAATATAGAAAACCATATGTCAACAGACATTAAAATTTTATGATATTGCAGATGTAAAATTACAAAGGGAAGTATCAACATTTAATTTATTCATTGTCAACATCCAAGCTTTGTTGTGAATATTTATAATAAATTAAATTATTATTTTTGTAAAATGTACATTATTGTATTTTTGTAAAATATTATTACTAGTTAAAATCTAATATAGGCTGACCCATAATTGACTAGCCCCATAGCCAAGTTTAGTGTAACATCACCCTTGTATTAAAAAATTATGCAAAGATTATTATCTATTTTTGATATTAATCATGTATTAAACTATGTTAAAGACAAATTTTCTAATTAGAAGATTTTGGATTGGATTGGATTGGATTTATTCAGTGTAAACACCAAAGATAGCCCACGAAAGTCTAGAAGAAGACCAGTGGAGTCCTCCTGGGGGTGAGTGGGCAGTACACTGGGAGACAATCCCCTACTCTCTTCCGAAGAGTGTACTGCGTTCTTTAACATGCACATGGGCCATAAATGCACATGAGACCAATGGCTCAAACGTCTCATCCGAAAGACGGTGCGCTATTGTAACTTATATTTCAGCCCTCCAGCTGAAACACAAGGAGAGGCAGTGATGGGAATGAACTGGGGACCTAGAGATGTCCACGGTTCAGCGTATACACAGTGGCTACCACCAGATTAGCTGACTGAGCTAAGCTGCTCTCTTTTGATACAGCAGGAATGGAATTTATAAATTCATGATAGTCGTCAAAACTGTAACGAGGGGGCACTATTACAGTAATAGTGAGTGATGTCAGAGATGTAGATAGGCACTTAAGTTTGGTGCATTTCATGCAAAATTTTAGTATTTCAACAACTAGATTTTATGTTGGTAGGCAATTGTAGTTCGTATAGTAAGAAGTATTTAATAGTAGATTTGCTTTTATTATACACCAAACTAAGGATACAAATATATGTGGGTACATGTTGGCCAATTTTGGGCACAAGTTGTCCTAAATTTGTATACAGGTTTCGCCAAAGTGTGTACGAGTTGGCATAGGTATTGCTTTCTGCACCTGTTGACCAGAATGATTATTAATTTTCTTCCTTCACCACACAAACATCTATCAGCCTACAATCAAATATAAATAGTCTGGTATTAACTTCCTTGATTGGCTTGTTTTGGAATGTTACAATGTTCTGTACATAATTTAATGTGCTCATAAGAAGAAGTGAAATAATGATTTAGGGGAGGAGTTCACTTGCCCCTGTCCCCCAAATGTATATGATGTCACAGGATCGATGAGATGTCTGAAAGTTTTTCATTTTGTTTTCTGTAGATGGCAGAGGTTGAAGGCACAAACTTTGAGCTACGAGACAAAGTGTCAGAGTTAGAGCAAATTGTAGAGTCACTACAGGCTCAGGTGGCACGGAATCAAGAAGAAGATCTCACTGAAACACTGGCAGCAAAAGACCTAAATATTGAACAGTTACAAAAACAGGCAAACAGCTATCTTGAGGAAAAGGAAAAGCTAGTATGTGTGTCTTCTGTCTTTTTTAACCATCTTCATCAGGGGAAGATTTGGGGAGCAACCTGCTACTGATTTTAATACCAAGTGTTATCCATCCAGCAGTGATAATATGTTTGACCCTTATTAATTGATAACCATTATTTGTATAAATTATTAATATTGTAATACCAAGGATACTTTTTTAAATAATTTCGAGCCCTTGAGTTTTAGGAGGATGCATCTGTGTTTGTTTAAAGTTCAGTATTCATCAATTCACCATTAATTGAATTAAATTTCACATTCTCATGTTCTGGTTTATTGTTATTGGTACTCGAGTAATTAAGAAGACAGATTTTGTGGTCACAGCTGGTAAAGAGCCAATATAATTGTTAATTTGCATTATTGCTTTTTCAGTAGGTTCAATAACAAACATTTATGAAAGTAATCACTCTGTAGAGTGTATTCCTCCCCCTTTGTCTGAATACTGAACAGTACGCAGGGCGTGTATGAGGGGCGATTCCATTGTTTTCCGCCTTATGCCTGAATACCAAATAATATGTGGGAAGGCCATTCGGTTATATTTTTTTTTTTTGCTCGGGGTACAAAAATTGAATTTCTGTGAACTTAACCTTGTCCTTTGACATTTTCTTCCCAAAAATGTAATCATCTTTTTCTTTGAATATTATGTACCATGGAATTAAATTTTATGATGATCCATTCATTAGTTTTTGCATAATCTTGCTAACAGACGGACAGACAGACAGACAGCTGTTAATACATAACCTCCTTTGGCGGAGGTACAGTAATAATAATCTGTATCAAAAGTTTTGGAATTGTAGATATTAAACTTGGATAGATGATTAATTGAGCTAAAACTCGACAAATTATATGCAAAATAATCCTAACAACCTTCCTATTATTGTTTTTTTCTTTATTGCTTTTCCCACTTCAGCTGTAAAAAATCATATATTCTATGTGCACTTATAAATATTTTTTCATTAGAAAGCAAAATACAGAAAACGTTTGAATGCTCTGAAGACACAAGTAGCTGAGGTTAAACAAGAAGGGTCTCTAAACATGTATAAATTGAGGCAAGAAATTGAGATGTTGGAAGAAGAAAACTATAAACTTACAGGTATTCTTAATAATGATCAAGTAGATCGAAACATTGAATCTCATAATGTCTCTGTCTCTTGTCGGAGTTACTGTCTTTTTGTTTTATTTAAAACTAATAATTGGATCCTCTGGTTTTTTACAGGTATCCAATTGTTGTATAAAGCTGGTTGTGTTTTTGAGTATCAGGGGAGGATCCTGGGGAACATTGGGGTTAGCTCCTCTCTACCCCCACCCCCACACATTATACTTCAGAACAGACTAAGTTTCAATTTAAATTCCATGTACCAGCATTTATGTTCAAACATTTTCTAAACAAACATCTGAATACCATGTCATATGGTCCTTATCAAGATTTTTCTCTGGTTCCAGCCCTGAATAGTGTAATAACATAATGGCCCTTTGATAACTGCTGTTTTTTTTTTTTTTTGTGTATGTTAAATTTAACAGTACAGTGGTTTTTTTTTGTGTGTGTGTTAAATTTAACAGTACAGTAAACTTAAAACTTCTTTTTTGCCATCCAATTTCACAGCAAAACTTGACAGAGCGAGTTCAGCATCAAAAAGTAGACAACACAAAGAGGAGAGCAAGAACCATGGAAATGATGAAGCAAGTATTACTGATTGGGAAGATAGCCGCACCAAGGTCATACTCCAACTGTCTACGCAGCTCTCCATGCAACAAGAAAAAATTGAAGAATTACAAAATATTTTGGAAGAGAAAGAACGATTGATTAAAGAACATGCTAAATCGCTGCAACATAAACATGATGGTTTGAGACAGATTTCGCCTCAGACTATTAATTCAGGAAAATTTTCAAATGAAAGAAAAGAAAAAAGTGCTGATCCAGAATTCCATCAAGGAACTAGGTTCACTCAAAGATGGAAATCATCATCAAATACTGATGAAACTTATGATTTCAATGAAACTGTTGAGGAAACATCGCACATTGATACTAATCATGAAATGGTTGGCAGTATGCGTGTAACTTCTGCAACTTCTCTAACGTCAGGTCTTTCAGATATTTCTTTACCTGATCAGACTTTTCAACAGACTGCCGAAAGAAGGAGGCGGAAAAAACATTCTAAATATTCAAGCCGTCAAATGTCTGCCGAAAGCTGTGACTCTGGCGTGTATTCCGGGTCCAGAAACAGTGCCCACAAGGTTCCACAACTGGAATGTAATTGATTGTATTGTTAAATGTACTGTAACATGAAACGGTAGCTACAAGGTGTTCAGTTGACAAAGCAAGCAATTCAATGTGAAGTATAACTTGACCATCTGGCAGTATTTCCAATAAAAATATTAATTTATTGTTATCCTTCCACGAATATCCAAGAATACATCTAAAGTTTTATAAAACGTTTTTCTAACTGTTAAAGTCTTTCCAGTCTTAAAACATTGTTTTTAGAGGAACATGCTATGTTGGCTAAATATATTATGAAATAAAGTACAGTCTTTTTAATCTTTATAACAAAGGTTTGTTCTAACATCTGCATATAATAATAAATAATAAACTATGCAGAATGTTTCTATTGTATTTATTGTTTTGTCTAAAAGAGGAGAATGAGCAAAGAGAGAATGTAATTTGGGATATTGGACATCAGCATAGACACAGTTTAGCTAAAAGGTGAATTCCCCTGAAACTTCGGACTTTGTTGCATTTTAAGAAAATTTTCCATACAAGTGTATGGTACAGTAATACTACTATACTTGTGGGCATATAGAAACAAGCGGGGTGATGTTATATTATAGGGAAAGGATAGTTGTTAGTGTATACTTCTTTGGACACTGTCAATTATGAATAGGGGCCTACAATTTTTTTTTTTTTTTTCTTATAAAGACTTGATTCAAACATTTTAATAAGCAATCCACTGATACTAAAAAGAAGTGCTCTTAAGAAACAATATTGGGCTTCTGTGTGGTCGCGTACCGGTACAAAGAGGTATGTTAATGAGAAATATACAGCTACCTTAAATTTTCGCCGAATTGCTAAACGTATGAGAAAATTGTTGACTTCTGTTTCTCGGTCGTTCAAACTTTGTGAATTTTGCTTTCCAGCATTATCTATTCTATCGACAGTCGCCAAAAGCAATTTGAATGACTATTGGTTAAAATTTACTTCTATAACAAAAGCCTTGCGTCTTTAAGAGAATTATTAGAACAGTCTATTTTCGAAACGTCGAGATATTATCAACACAGCAGTTCTTTTCTGAACTGTTCACGTTGTGTACCGCAAGTTTTCTATTACTAATTACTAATTATTCACCATGCAAACCTTTAAACAATGATTTACTGTTATTTACCTAAGCTTAGTAGACATGCCATTCTACTGTAATTCTCTCATCTTTGGCTAAGAAAATATTGTAGTCAGGCAGTCCTCCTTGGACTTACACAAAAGGAGAAAAGTTTGGGTACTGGTAATACGTTAACAGGAAATGGCCCAATTATAATTTTTAGGCGCCAGTGGGCTTCGCCCCTGGACCTCAATGACCTCCTTTGGAAAAGTCGCAATCCCTCAGACAGCTAACCCCCTTGAATGTATACTTGACGACAACCTTAGAATAAGGATAGCAGAGAGGGAAGTATTATGTTGGTGGTATATGAAATGGTCCAATAAGCTTGCCCGCTTTTTTTCACTTTGGTTTATTATTGAATAAACTGTTATAGAGTTTATCTACGAGGCTTAAGGAGTGGATCTGTGACGAGAAAAAAAAATAATAATATGAATATCTCACAAAATTTGAACATTGGGATTGGAAAGCATATCTTAACCACCAAATATATGTCGTGTAAAATCAATAGATAAAACAAAACAAAACATAAATAAAAAAATAAAAATAAGAAAAAACACCATTAAATATTACAAAATACTTGAAACTAGTAAATTAGGCCTTGTGATAAGAAATGTTATTGGGTGATCATTCACTTCCCGGCCATTTTGAATGGTTTTTGGACAATATCCAAGTTTCGATTCAACTAGTTTTAGAAATGCAAACATGCGCGCCCATAATAAATTACGATCAACTTTTCGTGACGCAGCAGTTCTCTATGGATGGGGAACATTAAATGTCAATTAAATAAGTAGGCCAATCTTAGGCTTATGCCTACTTACCAACCAGCAACTATCTTCTATCTTAATAATTACACTAGGTTTCCCTGTAATTAGAGACCCCTCCAATTAAAGACCACCTGTGGCGGCTTCGTGGGGGCGCCGACCCGGTCACTCCCCCCTCCCCCTATTTAAAATTACAAAATGGAGAAAGAAGGAAAATTATAATCAAGTTTAGGTCTGAGAGTGCCAATTCCGGCACTTAGCTAGAAGTGACAATCATAAATTTTCTTAGCTTAGCATGGTCGGGCTGATGTGGTCTTAATTCCCCATAGTAAAAGTCTTCTCTCTGGGCCCCATTTGGATTCCTGGTTCCGCCACTGACCACCTCTAACTAAAGACCACTTTTCATCCCAAATTAGCAAATGTCTTATATATATAATAGGCCTATTATTCTAGAAACCAAAACTGCTAATAGACCAAACCCAGGCCACAGAATGGTCTTTATTTGGAGGGGGAGACTTGTGTAAATTGCTTCTATTTTATCAGCCTTGTAAGTAGTGCAGGTAGGCCCCACTTGTTAAGTCATGGTAGTTGTTGAATAGTACGATGTAATACCAATAGGCCTATTATTATTAGGCCTATATTGTGTCACCTACACGTACTAGTTTTTTTTTTAACGAATGACGTAAAGGCCTATATCATCTCTTCACTCTCAACAGTTTCGGACGTAAGACGCGCACCTCTCTTTAAAGGCACTCGGTTTTCAGTGTTTTACGTGTAGGTACCGTATGTGGTGGTGTCAACAAAGAAGGGATATAGAAGATGGGTATTCACGGTGGCATAACAATTTGTACATCATTATTGTGATTTTGCCAAAGGCATCTAGGTAGAAGAGAAAATAAATATTTTTTATTGATGAATGTAAACAGTGTAGAAGTATGAAGAAAACCATAAAAATTACGAAGTAAATTACAAAATGAAAATGCAAAAAAAAAGTTGGATACACCGCACCAAGGCCAAAAACATTAAATTTGCAATGTAAGCTTTTCAATTAATGCGTGGGCTTAATCGGGATCACAAATGTGCTCGGGACAATTAACTACTTTCGTTTTGCTTTGTAAACCAAATTATTTGGAGATACAATAAATGATAATATTTTAATAGCGCATCATGAAAAAATGCATTAACCATACAGAAAGTCCTTGATAGAAACAGCTCCTGAGACAGTTCTATAAATCTTCATGAGGTTCAATCAGAATAGGTGTTCTTGTAACCAAGAAAAAATAAAGTAAAACTCTTTTCCCTGAGCCCTATAGTGAGACTTACTTTAAGATGTGTAAAATGTTTGTCTTATGAAAGGGATTGCCAATTTCACGTTCATATTGTCGAACTTGATAAAATCAACTCAGGCGATACTTTTATACGTCCTCATTGTCGCAGATTTAAACTATTATTATTATTTATATTATTATTATTATTATTATTATTATTACATGGGGGGGGGGGCCACCGACCCAGGCATCCTCTATTCAAAATTCTTTACAAAATGGAATTTAAAAAAATTATAATCATGTTTAGGTCTGAGAGTGCCATTTCCGGCATGTTAAAGTGCCATAATTATACATTGTCCTACCTCAGCATGGTCAGGCTGAGGTGGTTTAGACTCCCCATAGTCAAAGTCACTACCTGGGCCCCCTTTATTTTGAATTCCTGGATCCGCGCCACTGACCACCTCTAATTAAAGACAAATTTTCACCCCAAATTAGCAAATGTCTTATCTTTTTATTATAATTAGAGACCAAAACTACAAATAGACCATAGAAACCAGGCGACAGAATGATTTTTCTTTGGAGAGTTGACCTGTAAATTGTTTCGATTTTATCAGCCTTTAAATAGTGCAGACTGACCCCACTTGTTATATCATGGTAGTTGTTGATCCGGTGAAATACCAGGCCTATTAATTAGGCCTATATTGTGTTTATGAAACATATTGTGAGAAAACAAGAGAGGCACTCATCAAGTTCTATAGGCCTAAATGTTGTAGAATTAGCCTACGTTGCAGTATAAGAATGTAAAAATTCATAATTATCCTTATCAACACCAGCATTGTTTCAACGAATGACGTATCTTCACTCTCAAAAAAGTTTCGGACGTAAGACGCCCACTTCTCTAAAATTTAAGGCACTCGATTTTCAATGTGTTACGTGTGGGTACCGTATGTGGTGGTGTGAACAAAGAAGGAATACAGATGGGTGTTTACGGTGGCAAAACAATTTGTGCATCATTATTATGATTTTGCCAAAAGCATCTATGTGGAAGAGAAAATTAAAATATCTCAATTCAATTCAAAATTCTATTCAGTCAACATTTATTTGGTACTCAAAACAAATTACAACAGAAGTAACCAAAAAGTACACATAAGAAAACAGTTTCTGTCGGTGTGTACGTACCCCTTTTACAAAATACAAACATGCAGTACTGTAATAAAAAATATTGAGAAAAAAAAAAATTTTAAAGATAATATTAGACCTTTGTAAGTTTACAAAAGAATAGCCTAAATATACCAAGTATAACATTTAAATAGGCTGAAATTGTCTACATTCTTAGGCTGAAATTGTCTACAATCGATGGCTAGGACAAGTGTAAGAATATGTTTTCTTGTAACCAAGAAAAAACGAAGTTAAACTATTTTCCCGTAGTCTCATAGTGAGACTTACTTTAAGACCTGCGTTATGTTTGTCTTATGAAATGAAGGGATTGCTAATTTGGCGTTGATAATTGTTGAACTTGATAAAATCAACACAGACAATACACCTGCTAACGAACGAAACTGTCGTCTCAGTTTCCATATTAACTTGTTTTATTGTTTGTGAAAACACTACGTATAGCACTTAGTATACATTTTAAAATGTTTGGCGACTGTCTCTTTAATTTAGTTCAATAAGGAATTAGTAACTAGAGCCAACAACTTCTCAGACATGCTGTTGTTTTAGATTCCAAGTCTCGTGATCGGCCATCCATCGATGTGCTGGAGGAGGAAGTGCTTAACCTAATGAAGGAAATATTTAGGCCTATATATTATGTCACTTTAGAATCAATCATTTTTTATCGACAAGGGCTATTGAATTACGTCGATACCTTTATACGTCCTCATTGCCGCAGATTTAAACTAACTACCTGCAGTATCGGAAAAGCCATTGCTCTTATTCTGATTTTTTTTTTCTTTTTTCTTGCATATATTTTTCCTATCTTTTTGCAC